TGCCAGGCTGATATCTTCCAAACGCAACGCTGTACAAGAAAATACTTTGCCAGGGGTCTCTGAGAGTCACTGACAAATCTTCACACTAATTAAGCAAACTAATTGTCTCCGGCAAACTCCCCTCCCCTTTCGCTCCTCTTTTAGTCCCTCTGGGAGGGGCCATTCACCGTCCACCTGTGCCTTTACTCCCAAGTCGTCCCTTGTTCCTTAGCTGTTTTCTTCTCCTGGTAGCTCTGCTCAAGCACACATCGGGAACAGGCTCCAGCTGTTCTTCTGCCCCACTCATCTCCAACTCCGAAGGTAGTGGATAACTGTCAGATGGCCTTGGCCCCATCTCTGCCTCCGTCACAGAGCTTTCATCAGAGCCTTCCCCAGACTCCAGGACTGGCCCAGGTTCCTCCCCAACCTCTTCCCTGTCCGACTCTGCTGCCAGCTCTGCTGGCTGCTGGCAGGCCAAAACAATAAGGATAGACCAGATCTCAATTATCCTCTGCAAATTTCCAGCCTCCTCCTCTCCACCAATGGCTCTGCACCTCCTCCAGAAATGCAGAAATAGAATATTTCCCTCACTGATGTAACTGAGGCAGACACATTGCTGTCTCTGCTTCTTCGTCATTTTCTTTCAACAGCTGAGTTGGCTTTTCATGCAGTTTAAAATTAGAGTCCTCCTGGATGAGGAGAAAAAATGCAGAGCCAGATTATCCTTGTAGCTTTTTTTCTGAAATCTGGAGTGTTTTAGAGCCAAAATCAAGTACCCAGATAGCAGGCACATCTGGCAGAGGAGAGGAGGGGTTAGAAAAGTTAACATAGTTGGGAAGCTCCCACCCTGGCAGGGAGGGAAGGATCAAGTGGGGAACTAGTCTAGAATCACTGCACAACCCCAAAAGGACCAGGATCAACTCCCCTTAAGTTCCATGTTCCCAAGAGAAGGCTGCCATTCCTGTATTACAGGCAGAAAATAATAAACTAGTTAGCTTGAACTCTGCACAGGTGTGAAGGTATTCTGACCTAGGCTTCCCCAAAAAGCACGAAGCAGATTCCTGGTCCCGACAAAACCCCTTTTATTAAACGAATGTGAATTTCTCTCACTCACCTTCAGCAAAGGCCTGGCAAACAGTCTTTCAAAGGAATATTTATGACCACAGACCTTATCAGGCTTGGAGAGCTGCCATGTAAATATCTTCCAAATGCAATGCTATGCAAGGAAAGACTTGGCACAGATTCTCTGAAATTCACAGACAGATCTTCACACACCAAATGAATGAACAAATTGTTTCCTGCAAAAGCCCCCTCCCTTTTCACTCTTCTTTTAGTCCCTCTGGGAGGGGCCATTCACTGTCCACCTGTGGCCTTACTCCCAAGTCGACTCTGATTTCTTAGCTGTTCTTTTCCTCTGGCAACTGCGCACACTAGGAACAGGCTCCAGCTGTTCCTCTGCCTCACTGCTGCCTAGCTCCGTAGGCACTTGATCACTGCCAGATGGCCTCGGCACCCTCTCTGCCTCCGATGCAGAGCCATCCTCAGAACCTTCCCCAGCCTACATGACTGGCCCATGCTCCTCCCCAACCTCCTCACTGTCCGAATCTGCTGTCAGCTCTGCGGGCCGCTGGCAGGCCACAACAGTAGGGCTGACAAAATGGTGGCACCCATCCAATTGTAGCCCCTTCCCTTTTTTGTTTTTTGCATTGGCTTTGATGTGTATTACAAGCCGCGTAAGTTTCAAGCATCCCGAAACTTTGATTTTGGGTTTTAGCGATGAGATAGGTTTGTTGTTATAGAAATGGCTGGTTTGTACTACTATGTAAAAGTTAAAAAGTTGAGGTTTGATGTTGTCTTATTCTCCTGGACCAAAGAGAGTCGGAAGTCAAAGACCTTTTCTTTCTTTTTCCCTTCTTTTCTACACATTTCTCTTCCCTTTTCCCTTTCCTATCTTCTTCTGTATTTTATACTAGCTGATAACCTGGCGGGTTTTTATTTATAGAGGGGAAATGTCCGGACCAAACGTCATTTCTAATGTTGGATTTTCCCCCTTACCAGAGGGAGCCCCCTTGTGGAGTACCGTGAAGCTGTTACCATGGCAGCTACGTCGCACTGTACAGTAAAAGCCTTTTTACAGCAGTACAGTAGAAGCCATTTTAAGACACAACAGGCTGTATCTTAACAGAACACACACCTGGAGGTGTTAGAGGTGTCTTACCCCCACAGTATTTTCCTCCAGAGAATAAGTCATCTGTGTACCAAGTTTGGTTGAAATTGCTCAAGGCATTATGCTGGAACACACACACACACATACACAGAAAGAGAGAGGAGGGGAGATTATACATTAATTAAAAAATAAAAGTGAAGCTTAAGTGAAACTGGTTATTAAGGAGTGGCAGGAGTCCTGTCTGTGAGCGCCTCCCCCTTGCCTAAATCAGTTCCGCTGCGCTGTACAGTAGAAATCATTTTAAGGCACAAGAGGCTGTATCGTAACAGGTACAAATCTCCCTC